CTTCTATTAGATGTGGAGTTGGTGAAAATATTTCCCATCCTGTAGGTCATCATTTTGCTTTATTGATGATTCCTTTGCCTTACAGTAGCCTTTCAGTTTCAGGAGGTCCCATTTATTAGTTGTTGATCTTACTTAGTGCCTGTGGCATTGGTGTTCTGGTCAGAAAGTTATGTCTTTTACCAATGAGTTCAAGGCTATTTCCTTTTTTTTTTTTTTTTTTTTTTTTTTTTTTTGGTTTTTTGAGACAGGGTTTCTCTGTGTAGTCCTGGCTGTCCTGGAACTCACTCTGTAGATCAGGCTGGCCTCGAACTCAGAAATCCACCTGCCTCTTCCTCCCAAGTACTGGGATTAAAGGCGTGTGCCACCACCGCCTGGCCTCAAGGCTATTTCCTAAGTTCTCTTTTACCAAATATCTGGTTATATGTTGAGTTTTTTGATCAACTTAAACTTGAGTTTTGTACAGGTGGCGAATATGGATCTATTTGCATTATTCTATATGCAGATATTCAATTAGACCAACCCCCATTTGTTGATGATGCTTCCCCTCCCCCCCCCCCCGCCCCATTGTATTGCCGTTTTTTTTTTTTAATCAAAAATCAGGTGTTCAAAGGTGTGTGGATTTATGTTGAGCTCTTTAATTTGACTCTATTGATTAATGTGTGTTTTTATCAATTATATATCAATACCATGCTGTTTTTGTTACTATAACTGTACTACACCTTGAAATCAGAAATGGTGATACATCCTGAAAAAATTTTTTTTTAAGATTTATTTTTTAAGTATATAGCATTCTACCTGGATGTATGCCTGTAGCCTAGAAGAAGACACTAGATCTCATTATAGATGCCACCATGTGGCTGCTGGGAATTGAACTCAGAACCTCTGGAAGTTCAGACAGTGCTCTTAACCTCTGATCCTTGTCTCCAGCCTCTCTGAAATACTATTCTTGTTCATGATTGTTTTAGATATCCTGGGATTTTTTTTGTTCTTGTTGTTTTTCCATATGAACTCGAGAATTGTCCTCTCAAGGTTTGTATAGAATTGTGTTGGAATTTTGATTGGGATTGCAATGACTCTGTAGATTGTTTTTGGTAGGATGACCATTTTTACTCTGCTAATCCTACTGATCCAAGAGCATGGGAGATCTTTCTTTCTTCTGATATCTTCTTCAATTAATTTCTTCAAAGACTTCAATTTTTTGTCATATAAGTCTTTCTCTTGCTTGATTAGAGTGGCCCCAAGGTATTTTATATTATTTTGGTAACTGTGAAAGGTATTGTTTCTCTGATTTTTTTTCAGTACTTTTGTCATTTTTATATAGGAGGGCTATTGAGGTTTTTCATTTATTTGTTTTTGTCAATCTTGTATCCAGCCACTTCACTAATACTGTTTTTTTAGTTGTAGGAGTTCTGTGGCAGAATTTTCAGGGTCACTTTTGACATTTGATGTGTTTTTTGGCGTATATGCTTTTCTTGTCTTTGTTGGGTGGTTGATCTTTTCTTTGGCTGCTGTTGCCCACTCATGCAAATGTGGTGGTACCTATGGGGTCCCTGGTACAGAAATGTTTCATTGGGTTGCTTTGTGATACAAAAAGAATGAAGACAGGCTAGGAAAAATGTGTATGCAAATAGTGGAAATGGGATAGGAAACCCTTGGTAAGCATTGAGTTATCCAATCCCCAGGAAATGGAAGTGAAGTGGGAAGAGGGGCTTCTGCAGGCTGACTACAGGGGACCTTCCCTGAATCATAGGGCTTCTCAGTGAAGGCAGCAACAGGACCCTGGTGATTGCAGTGGCAAAAATTGTGATTGCTAGGGAAAAAATAGCTTACTTTTGATAATTTTTTTCTTTCCTTAAGTCTTTGCTATTTTAAGACCCAAAACTGGCCTTTGGTGATTAATACCTGCTGTTTACAGTGGGTAATTAAATATAGGATTTATTGCTAGGGCTCCTTTCTCTGGTAAGCTTGCTGGGAGCCCCTTGCTGGCCAGGCAAGAGGCTTGGAGCTTGTTAACTCTTTGAGAACCAGGAAGAAAAGAGAAGAAAATCTTTTACATAGGCAATACATGTGCATGCACACTGCATGCACACACACACAGTTTCACACACACACACACACACTCATCTCATACACACACACACATACACACTCTAGTCAGGCCTGACCACCTGTCTCATCAACTTTACAAATGTTCATGCATACTTACAAACATATACATATACCTACACATATATGTACAGATGAACAAACATATACATACATACCTTTAGTGGATGGGACTGAGCCCCAGATGCTACCACATTTTCTCTGGCCTTTTTATATCTTCTTAGACAAAAGTTCTTTGGAAAATTCTTCATAGATAAAATGTTATACAAAGGGGGAATGAATTATAGAGAGATGTTGATAGTTAAGTTCAAAGCAGTGTTTCTATAAGCTCATTATAAGTTCAAAGCAGCATTTTCACAATGCCTCACTTTATCACAGTGCCCACCTGTGGCATCCATCCTTGGATCTGATTTAGAATGAATGTTTTATCTTAATCACAAATTTGACCCAAGCCTATTTTTGTTTTTAGTGTTAATTGTGAAAGCTCATTGTATTCCTTATTATGCAGCCTTTCCTTACTATTCTATGAGGAGTGGGTACCTTATATTCTTGATTCTGACTTTATTACATCTTTCTGGCAAAACAACTAAAATCAATTCCCAGAAAATTTTTTTCTAAGCTGAGCGAATCAGGAATTCTATAGTCATTAATTCATTTAACCAGCATTAATTCACGAGAGCTCATCTTCATGTTGATCTAAAGAAAATTTATTCAATAGTGCCCGCCCCCCCAAAAAAAAATGATGCCCAGGAATCATTAAGCTATGTAATAGGGATAGGAAAAGTGTATCAGCTGTAAGAACTGATTTCACTTATCATAGGCCATGCCAAAATGGTGGGTCATCTCCAGAAAACTTGTCTTTAGTCTTTTCTGGATGGCTCCTGACAAGGAAGAATAGTGAAAACTACCTACCTGTGTCAGCCACAGTATGGCCATTTAGGTTCCCTAGCAGAAAGTATGTCTGTGACCTGGCAGATGATACAGAGAAATATGTTCAGTGGAAAAGAGTTAGGATGACCCTGGGTCATCATAAAGAGGTAGAAGTGTATCCAGATAACGGCTATAGGGCAATTGGAGGGACTCCTGTAGATAGGCTACATCAGGACTCTCAGAAAGTTTACATATGAATATGTGTGTGTTAAAGTCAAGGTCTCAGTACATATCCCAGGCTGGCCTCAAGCTCTCAATTTGGTTCAGCCTCTGGAGTATTGGAATTATAAGTGTGTTGGGTTCCCATCATTCCTGGCTTATAGTAAATAGTTCCTTCCTTTGTTCCTCCCTCTATTCTCTAGCCATCCATTTGTTTGGAAAGACATATAATTGTTAATTACTGGCTGGAGCTATAGTTCAGAGACACTGCACTTGTCTAGCCCTGGGATCAGTAATGACAAAAATGAAAAAGAAAAAGTTGCTATTGAGATTAAGACTTGACCATTTTAACTGAGGTTAGTTGACAACAACACTCTATGGTTTTCTTTTTCCCAGACAGCAAATCACTATGTAGCCAAAGTCAACTTCAACTTCACAGCTATCTTGTCTCGGGCTATAAATTATATTGAAAACAATTTCAAAGATTACAAATGGATTTTATGTTAAAACTGTATATGTGAGCTGGGCAGTGGTGGCGCACGCCTTTAATCCCAGCACTTGGGAGGCAGAGACAGGTGGATTTTTTAGTTCAAGGCCAGCCTGGTCTACCGAGTTAGTTACAGGACATCCAGGGCTATATGGAGAAACTCTGTCTCGAAAAACCAAAAGACAAAAAAAAACCAAAAAACAAAAAACAAAAAAAAACCCAATAATAACAACAACAACAAAAACTGTATATGTGAGTGTGTGCTGGCCCTCTTCTATCATTTTAAGCCTTATTCCTTTGAGGCAGGTCCTCAGTGGATCTGGAACTCACTTGTTTTCTTTTTGGTGAGGCTGGTAGCCAGGAAGCTCCAGCTGTCTTTCTGTCTTCAGGTTCAGAGAGAGATGAGAGACTCTGCTTCAAAGGAATAGAAGCATGGTGGAAGAGGGCATCTAATGTTCTCCTTTGGCTTCCATGCATCTTAATTTGTGCCCTCCCCCGCAGCCTTGAGCAGGCCTAAAAGACATAGGTGCAGTCACCCACCTTGGCTGCAGGCACAGCCTGCTACAGGAACTTAGAAGAATAAACTGCCCGCTGAGCTTGCCTTGAGACATCTCCAGCTGTGACTAAGGATGGGTTCCCCCACCCATCTCCAGCAGTGACCAAGGATGGGTTCCCCCACCCATTTCCAGCTGAAATAAGAAGAGGTTCGGTGGGGGTTTCCCTTTAAATTAAAAGCTGAACATTAAACTTTGAGCCTTGATCAGAGAACTTTGTCTTGGCTTCATCTTTTCTTGCCCTTCCGTCCCCTTTTTCATTTCCAGCCCCCCTTTCAGGAGAACCTGGTTGGTCTGTGGCTGCAGGAGGCTACGTAAATTTATAAAATAAAATGTTTCTTCATAGGTGAAGTAAAATATCATTCCTCTGAGTATTTTGTTCAGATGTCTAGCTGAATTTATAGACGGGCACTTAATTTCTCTTAGGCAAACATGGAGCAATCAGTGATTTACTAAGGACCTTTTTGGGGGGAGCTTTATAAAGCTCAACTGTAGGTCTCTATGAAATTATGAGTAAGACTATATGAAGAGAATGTGTACCATTTCTTTCAGTAAACACCTTAAATGTTTTAAAATTTATTTTATAAGTATTTTGTCTGCATGTGCATGCAATGGTACCCACAGAGGTCAGAAAAGGCCATCAGATCTCCTTGATGAGTGGTTATGGACCTCATGGGGGTCCTATGCAAAAACTACAGGTGCTCTTAACCACTGAATCACCTCTCTAGTTCCTGATCAGTAAACATATTTCACCTTTCTTCCAGAGTGTTTTGGAGATCAAAAGAGTGGGATGAGAAAACTTCAACATTTACTTCAGATGAGGCTCTTACAAGTGACAAAACAAAGGTTGTCCATAGGAGAAGGCCTAAACTAAGACGCCAGAGTGATCTGGAAGACTCTACTGAGCAGCTGGTTTCTGGTGACATGGTCACATTCCCCTGCTCTGTCTGCTACCAAGAACTAAACACAAATCAGAATTTTCTCCATAAGAAACATCACAATGCCCTGAGTATTCTGGGTTTCCAGTGGATGGGAAGAAGGAAACCAAAGCCCAAGGTGATCAGTTTTCATAGAGAATGTATAGTTTCTAACCTTTTGAGATCTTCTACATACAGTGAAAAAGCCCTTCAGAGTATAAATTACGCATTTGAGCTTCTTTGGAAGAAACACATCCCATCATACTTCAAACTTTGTGATAAGGTTGGCCAGACTTCTACATATACTCCAAGCAGCTACCATCTGATGATTAAAGGTATAGCCATCTGTAGCAATAGTAATTCAACCTGGAAAGCTGAGCCAAACTGTAAATTCACGGTTGTGGATGATTTCGGTGAAAAAGCCAATGTGTGCTTCTTTGGTTTATTTGATAGCCATTATGGATATGCAGCAGCAGACCTGGCATCAAAGGAGTTTCAGGTTTTACTTCTCCATCAGCTGTCTATACAGGATCCTTCCTACCAAATGACAGCTGAGCAGCAGCAACTGATCGATTCCTTTCACACTGTGTTCAGGGAAGAATACAGAGCCAGAGAAGAGGCCTTCTCTTCCACATACAAAACCTTCAGAACTAGTAGACGGGAGTATGAGGACACACACAAAGCCTTTGCAAAGGCATTTTGGAGAATGGATAGGCTTCTACGGCTTGGAAGGAATGAGGTTTCCCGGGTTCGGTGGAGCGGCTGCTCAGCACTCACTTGTATATTAGAGGGTGGGATTAAGAACCCACAAGCTAATAAGGACTGGGAAAAAAACTATCAGCAGGGTTCTAACAGTTCTCCCTTCCCGAAGACTCCACAGATCATCTCTGGAATATTACACATTGCAAATGCTGGTATGTATATTCACTTACATTCATGACACCTAAATATTTGTAAATGGCTGCTCGTGCCTGCTAAAATGACTCAGTTATTTAGCAATTTGCTAATGTCCAGAAATTGCACCGAACAATTAAGAAACAAAAAAAAAATCCCGTTTAAATGGACTGCAGACACAAAAACAAGCAACTATTTTTATGGGTACTGATATGAGTTGTGTAATGAAACTTTCCTGGGGATACAAAACAGACACTTCTACACACCCAAGTTAAAGAACCCATATAGACCAAAGTGTGGATACCATCAAAATCCAATGTGGGAAACAGATGAGTTTTACTGGAACTACTTACCTGAATATGGAGGAGAGGTTAACTAATAGGAGCAGAAATAACTCTCAGACGCTGTATTATTAAAGTCCACCCCAGCATGGGTGACAGCTCACAAAAGCTGGGAACCTGGAGCACACTGCACATTAGGTAGGCTGCTCAATAGGTTGGAGAGCATCCTTTCCAGGTGACTCTAGTATTCCAGACAGATAAGCTAGTTTTTGCTTCTTCTAGGCAGCTGGTGTGGCCAGGGCCAGCCTGTATCCACCCATCCATCCATCCATCCATCCATCCATCCATCCATCCATCCATCCA